AGTATGAATAAAGAGTGTAAAAGTTTGGCACTACAGACTATTCTTATGCTACAAGTCGTCAAACACTACAAAGGCTTAAACCCGAAAAGTTGGGTAAGTTGTACTATGCGACTTTTGATTGAGTAAAATAGTATCACTCGAGTTAAAAATATAATACCGGTAAGAAGGTCCCGACTAGGATGTTAGATTTTCTTCTCGAAGATATCGTGTATACTCCTTGATCAATTTATTATTTCCACTTGAAATCTAAATAGCATAATAAAGAGGTTGCGTAAAAAAAAGAAAAAAAAAAGATTCTAGGTTCGAATTTTATCGCGGAAAATTTCTTTATTTAGTCTATGTTAGTCCTAAATACGACCCTGTACAGTTTAATGAGTAATCATTTGTCAAATTCATTGGAACTTTGTGTTACTTATGTTTGGCTTCCTTATTTTTGGAAGGCTATGTAAACCGTACCACTATGAATGAACAATACTTCCTAAGTTATATTGTTAGAAGATTAACTTCGAAGAAACAGTATTGTGGAATATCAATGAAGAAATAACTATTGGTAATGAACAACCTAAAGGGAGGTTATGGTTAAACTATTATTTTTGACTCTTATAGACTACAGGTATGAATATAACACACTTTGATTAGTGAAGGGTTGAAGGGTTAATAAATAAAAATGTCCATAACACTCTCGTTTTCTACTCATCCTAACCCTACAGCTAATTGTGGAAGCAAAGAGAGTCTTTGAATCATTATATAAAAGATTGAAAGAATTAATTTTTTTATATAATCAGAGACCTAATGATAGTTCACCTCCTCGTCTTGACTTTCTGTTCTTAGGTTTTTTTGTGTCAAACAATTATGGATATGACAATGTCAAATTTTGTTAAACATACCATTTATGATGTCCTGTGTTTACGAAACATGAGAAATTTGAAACTGAACAAACGATTCCTTTTAAGGTTGACATATTAATGTTAAGCCATATACTGATTTTACAGAGGAAGTCTAAGAAGATTTAGTGACTAAACTTATAATATAACTTATTCACAAAAGACTTATTCACAAGAAGATTATGTGTAATAGTTCATTTATTTTAGACTTTAAAGAGAAATTCTTTTGGTGTAATAGGGGAGTCAAATTACTATGGATTATTAAAATAAATGAAGACTTCTTCTTATGCTTTAGAAAAAGATTTCACGTGAAAGACACCTTGACAACAAATAGCACAAGTATAACATCCCAAATGAATGATTTTTCTTGAGATTATAAATGATGCACTAGACCTGAGTATTTTATCACGCATAAAAGAAGAAGATGGTTTAAGGATTCAACAGTAAATATATAATACTCCCTCCGTCTCAATTTGATAGTCTCATTTCTTTTGGGCACAAGTTTTAATAAAGTGGTTGAAAAGGTAAAAGTTGTGGTTGAGATTTGAAGATAATAAAGTGAAATGATATGAACCACATGTTTCTTTCCAAAAAGGGAAACAAGACCATCATTTTGGGACATCCCAAAAAGGAAATACAGGACCATCATTTTGGGACGGAGGGAGTACTATGTTAGTGTCATTAAGAATATTTTAAAGAGTTTTATGCCTACATATGAGTCTCATAAGTCATAACACTGCTACCATGAACAAATTGGGAGATAGCTAGTAAGCTAGTAAATAAGCTAGTAAGTTATACATAAAGGGATTATAAACATAAATAAAGCAATCTATTGGACGCAAGCGAATGGTGAACTAGAAAACTCCATCCTCTCCCACAACTTAATCATATTGTAAAGATCAATTCGCTAAAATAGGAAGAAGGTGAAGCACTATGTTTTAGATATTCTAAAATTTATGAAATCACGATGAGGTGATGAACCTTACGGAGATTTCTATCCTTCACATTTAAAAGACCAATTCGAACTAACCACACCCTGGTGGAACGTTGTTCTAAGTCTAAATATCATTTCTTATGGTGTGTGGCATATGTTTTAAAACAAGTTGGGATTTAGTATGATCTTCTGCTCTGATATTAATAAGTAATTAGAGCAAGTCAGTAAACCAATCCGTAATAAATGCTATGTTCGGTGTTTAGGATTTTGTGTTTTAGTATAAGCACAAAACATAAGAAGAGTACTTAATAGGAGAAACTTATGTCAAATCTTTGTATATGTCACAAGTAGTTGTATGTCTCCCCAATAAGAGAAAATTGATCAATGTGGTAATAAAAAAGTTAGTACACACTCATAGAATTTAAAGACACATGCTCTAGAAAATACAGGGGTAACCTAGAAAAAGATGTAAGGCTATTATAGTGAACAACTATGTGAGAAGTCAGAAAAGAAAAAAATGTTGAGACGTCGTTATCCCGAGTTATTTCAAGTTTCGAGGACGAAGCTTTTATTAGGTGGGAGCCTGGGAGGGATTGTAACGCCCGCACTATTTATCGACATCTTATGTGCTAATTAATTATATATGATCATGTTTTGATTTATGGTTGAGTGCTATATATGTGAAGTGTAGGGATAACATGTGATTATGAACCTTGTAATAATTGTATTTGAACTTATATGCTTGTATTGTGTTTGAACGTGACAGGTGACGATATCCAATGAGCAACGAAGTTACACTGTAATAATCATTGGTATTTTGAATGTAATGGTTATCAAGTTAGTTGTCATGTTAGATAGTATTCAGGTGTTTAAAATGTAGTTTAATGTCATCAGGGGTGAAGGGTGTGATCGGCCAACAATCAGGGTCGGTTTAGGACGAAAAGGAGCGTTTTCGACACCGGGGGAACCCCGGACCGGCACCGGTTGGACCCGGACCGGCGCCGGTCCATAACAGAACGTATGGCGGTGGAAAGGCAGAGCAACCGGTGCCGGTTGGGCCCTGGTCGGGGCAGTTTTGGCAGGTCGGTCAAAATACCATTTTTAAGCGTAGAAACCCCCCTTCAGCCCCAAATTCGATCCAAGCTCGCCCTTCTCTCTACAAAACAATCCCAAAACCTTCTCCAAGTGATTCAAGCTCAAATTAAATCTATTCTTCATCAAGGATCATCATTTGGTAAGGTTTTACACTTAACATGAAGTATTTTTCACTATATTTGTATCTATAGTTCTTGGTTGTGAATTTTGCTAGGGTTGATTGATTTTAGGTTGATTCTAGGAAATCTAATGGATTTTCTTAATAATAAGGTTGTTATGGAGTTGTTTTCATCTTTGATTAAAAACCCTTGTGAAATTTGAGTATCCGATTACACCGAAATTATACCTGATTAGAGATAAGAATTTGGGAGTTTTGCTTACTCTTTGAGGTTGATTTTAAGTAGACATATAGAGTTCTTGATATTATACTAATTACTTAGTTGTTATAATCTCTTGGTTTGTGAGTTCCAATCGGTGCTAGGTTATCTAGCTACCCCAAAGCCATGCTCGAGTTGTTGTAGGAATTTGGGAGTTTTCTCACTTGTAGGGGCTTATTTATGAACTTTCCCTCATCTTTAAGTCTAGGTATTTTCAAAAAGACAAGAATTTAAGTTTGACTAAATGTGAAATTATGTTGATCAAGTGTAAATCATATATATATATATATATATATATATATATATATATATATATATATATATATATATATATATATAGTTGTTCATCGAAGAACCGTTGCTCATGGATGCTGGACATGCACACACAAGAGTAAATACTCCGCACGAACGAGGTAAGTCACCACCGTCTATACATGATAGTTCTAAATAAAATATGGAAGTCTAGTTAATGATGAATTGATATACTTGCTTGAATACTTGAAATTGTATGGCATCAGATTATGTGAACTCCAAGTTGTATGTGTTTATAGACGGATGGTCTTAATTGTGGAGCCATTTATTTAAGTGATGTAAAGTGTTCAGAATATATGTTTAAGGTTGTGCTCATGTGGAATGGAAATGAAAAGAAAGTTATGATGGTAATGAAAACTGTTGAATGATTAAATGTAAGATATTCATGTTCTATGTTTGATTTTGGTTTGGGTTCATATAGAACCAACGATGAAATGAAGATATGAGGATAATGATATACAAGGAATGATAAGTAATGTTTTAAGGTAGCCGTGCCCCCATATAACTACCTGAACTGAGCGTAGCGGGATAGCCTTTCGCGGGGAGTCCCGGGGTTACTTCTGATGGGCTGCGGGCTAGCTACCCGAGGTCATCGACGAGGGGCCAGGACACAAGCTACGGGCCCATAAAGTCAAGGAACAAGATGAGAAGAAACAATGATGAACAAGGAAACCTCTTGGGGTTTGATATGTGAACGCTTATGGGTGTTATGGCACATTTCATGTGTGATTATAATATGTGTGTGGTGTATTAAGCATGGCTATCTATTTATGATTATTTGAGATTCCGTAGATGTTTTTAGTGGATGAAATGGTGACTTACTAAGCATTATTGCTTACGAGAATTCTATTCTCTTATGTTCTCATGTATAGGTAATAAACGAAGTATGGAAGTCTGAGAGAATGAATGGAGTCGGTGACAAGGTTTTGGATGGGTTAACGGAGAAGATCTGGCTATGTACTATGTTTTGCTTTTAGTACTTTGGTATTTCTACGGATTGTTAAATGCTTTTGAAATCCTGATCAGGTGTAATAGTTTTAAAGACGTTTTTTATTTTGGATACCTTTTATTATGGTTATAAGGTTGGATTATGAGTATAAGATATAAAGTTTCATGACGAGACTTTGTATCTTTATTTCCACTTTGTATATCGAGTCTTGTTATGTTTGAGTATCGTAATGGCCGTGTTGGAGACGGTCGTTACATGTACGGTAGAAGGTGGATTGACAAAAATAACCAGTATGGTAGGAGTAAATTATTGTAAAAGTGCAAATCTAAGACTTCAATGTTTCGTAAATCGTAATGTTCCGAAGGACTTAAAAGAATGGAGTTGACATCACAACCCTTAATGAAAAAAGTCAATTTCATTATTATTAGTCAATATTATTATAAAACATACGGAGTAATAATAAAACGAAATTCAACAAAAGTGCATTGCGTGGATGACATCAAGCATTCAAACGTCACCGGATCTGGTGAGTCACGACTGCCATCTCTAGTTGTGCCACCTCCACCGCCACCACCGGCGTTGGCGCCGCCACCATCGGTGTTGGCGCCACCACCACCGTCGGCGTTGGCTCTGCCGCCGCCTGCACCGGCGTCAACGTTGTCCCCACCTTAGGCTCCACCAGCTACTCCATCTTTCACCTTATCTAGCTTTTTTGCCAGCCGCTGCCACCACACCGTGCCTCATCTACGTGAACAGTGTGACCTCTAGCGCCGCCACTACATCCACTGTTCCAACCACTGTATATCTCATATCTGATTTCGATATGATATGACTCCCACTCAAGTGTCATCTTACAGTTGGACTGTCATCTTAATGACATTATTGTCATCCTGATACAAGCAAGATGACATTTTCATATTAAAAAATATGGCATTAATGTCTTTTCGAATGAGTACTAATGTCATCTTCATAACAGTAATGCCATAAAAATGGCATTCTCAAAGTGAAATTTTCAAATCCAAAGGAGTAACATTGTAAAAGTAATCCCATAAAAATGACACAATTCTGAAATAAATTTGCAATTGATGATATTTAATGCAGAAACTAATAATATTTATTTCATTTTCAAATTTAAAAAATCTCAAATAAATATAAAGAGCTTAAAGTTATGGAAATAATAAAAACAGAGATGGTGTGAGAAGAAGAGGAGGAGGAGGAAGATCCAACCAGCCTGGATGTTGTTCACTTGTGGTTGGATGTTGTTCACTTGTGGTTGTTCGCCGCTCATTTAGGGGAGTCCGACCAGCATCTGGAATTGCTCCACATCTGGAATTGCTTGGCTCCGATCTTCATCCTTGTGCATCTGGAACTGCTAAATGATTTGATGACTTTTAAATAATTAAATGATTTATTTAATTTACTCCCCTCTTTCATTAAGATATGATGCAGCACCCATTAAAAAAAAGATATCTTTATGTATATAAAGAGATATGGTGGAGATCCAAATAGAAATCTATTTGAAGCCAAAAGAAGTGAAAATTTGTTGTCACAGTTAATTAAACATTATTTAATATGTCAATAGTTAATAACAATCAATGATTAAGTACAAACCTAATTAATGATTGTAAGTTACAAATATAATTTAGAAAAGTGAGCATAAAGACATTACATAAACATAAAATTATTAGAAAAATGTTAGAAGCACTTATATACATAATACTCACAAACGTAGTAATTAGTTAAGAGACGCATGCATTTCTCATGCATTATACAATTGAGATTTGCGCAGATCATAGAAGGAAAAACAATTTACCCACAAACGTGACAAACTTAATACTTTAAATGGAAATCACCAATTTTTTGAGTCAGTTGCATAAATAAAGTTAGCAAAGTTTAATGAGATGAGAGAAGAATTTTAAAAATGCCTTAATTTTTAAGGTAAAAAATTTCGTGTAAATTTTTTTCTAAAAATATTCTTTGTAACGGCTCAGTCCGATCCAGTGTCCTGGCTCCGCCCCTACGTGCAACGTGAGCCAATAAAAGCAACAATCAGATCAGATCCATGAACTTGTGTTGGTATTGTATTATCTACATGACCCTGGCACGAAGCCAGGAAGACAATGATTTACATAAGCTACCCAAGAGTTTTTTATTTTCTTATTTTCCTTTGCCTTACTGGTCTCTCATGCAGGATTATCATCATCATTATTATTATTATTCCGCAATGTTCCAAGCAACCGCAAGAGCTTATCAGCCTCAATAGTCCCTGAGAACTGCATACAAAATGATCGGACTTCATTCAAGAGTTCTCTACCTGCAAAAGTAATCAAACATCACGGCATTAATTTACTTTAAAGCCCAAAACCGCATTTCAGAAACCATGACTGCAATATCTCTACTCTTTAACCACACATATATTATCTGAGTTGGTACAATATTCCTATATCTAATACAGTATGTCAGTATATGAGTATGAAAATTCTTTAATAGAAGAAAAATAAGAAACCTCAAATGAGTATTCTTTTTAACAAAGAAGGAAAATATTTGTGACTATTTCAACCAGAGGGTAAAAGAAGAAGGAATATAAACAAGTGAGTTCAATCATGTGTAAGACTGGCTATGAGCACAGTACTTACCAACAATAGAATTGTCCTTCTCGATCAAGTTCTGAATGAAGACACAGACAAGCCTTGCCCGTCTCTTCTGACTGGACTCGTCATCCTGAACAATTGAAATATAGCAAAAGAAAAAGATCCATACTTAAAATGCAACACAAATGAAACACTTGGTAGTCCATCAGGCTAAGGCAATACAAACATGCTAGCAACAAGTCCTCACACCAATTATGCATACATCGTAACTAATGAGAAGATGAGATGAGAGGAGCAGCAGGCGACCTTGATGTTCTTACACGATGAGATGCTCTTAGTGATGCACGAACGTATGAATTCAGTCGGCAGTTTGACATTGTCATCTTGTGTGAGGTTGTAAACTACTTTCATCGAGTGTGGACTCATTTCGTTGTCAACAAGAGCAGTAAAGTAGCTGCAACAAACATATGGAATTCCAAGCACACACAAATATATATTGTATTACATAATGATAGTACTTGAATGATTGCGTAAGACATTAAATGAATCCCATTATGATTTTTTTGGCTACAGGTTTATCCAAAATCATTCATTTAACTAATCAATGAAAAGGAAAAGGGCATACTTGGCGATCACAGGGGAATTCACCAACTTTACAAGAGCTTCAACTGCAATTGAAGGATTTTTCTCTACAAGCTCCTGAAATGCAGGGTCGTTATCTTTGGAATCTCATTAACTTTAGACATTATGGTGCATTAAAAACGGAAATTTTGTGACAATTTACAATCTTTTTGAACAGAAAAAGGGAAAACGAAAGTGACAGAAAGTTTTCAAGTGTTTCTTTCTCAAGAGTGGGAACAGACCCTGTGCAGCAGTATTTTCTAATTTTCTTTCTTTAAAATTTCGTCATATCATTTTCTTTTCCTGAACGGAAAACACAGGCGAACATCACATTTTTAACTATTCACCATGCAACAAGCTCCTCTTACACTTCTCTCCTCAGACCATTTGCAAAACTAAAATTACCAAAACTTCAAAAACCAGATAACTTAAAATGGAGAACAAAAAGGGTTAATAAACACTCCGCCATGTTTATACATTAAAATTTGTTACTTACCACCAATGTTATTGGTGTCAGCCCACAATGATAGACAAGCATTGGGATAGTCTCCAAGTCCATCAGAATTTGCTGTGTTAAGTTCAGACAACATATCACTGGAGGGGGGAGTAAAATAGGCTTACACTCAATGAACTCATTTTATTAATGTATTTCTATTACAAGAGAATAAGATATCTAAATAATGCTTTACAAAATTTAGGAGATACGCCACATATGACATGTCATTTTCCAAGTTAAAGCCAAAACATAAGAAAGAAAAAAAAAATTACGCATTTTTCCCTTTAAGGCTTTAAGCAGCATTTTTCAGGAGCCAGACACACTCTTAACAAAATCATGTGAATGCAGAAAATGAAGCCTTGTTGTAAATGAGAAAAATAGAAAGCAACCTAAAAGTGTAACAGGACATAAGAATATCAATGAATATGAGATGGAAAATGAGCTTTCAACCTTTTCCTCAGAAGGATTAAGCGGGCTCTTAAAAGCTTTTGTAAGTAACTCCAAACCACACATTCCATGATCCCAAAGAAGATGATGATCTTTATCGTCAAGATTTAACCACACTAGCTACCAAACCAAACATAAAGATGTCATTATCCATTCAAAAGTCCAAAAGTCCATTTTACCACCACATGGTCGTACATTTATATCACTATTTCATTTAAGGGAAAATCCTTTTGTACACACACACACCCTATTTTTTGTGGACTGGCAATTATTTCATAAAAAAAATATCTTAAACTTTTTAGGAGTTGTCTGTGTGGTGTCTAAAAAAAACGGCGTGTACACACCCCCAGCGTGTACATGAAGAATGGATCTTCATTTAAAGGAATCCAGCATACTCAGTGGGCGCTTACATCGCTATCAAGTAATGGAAGCCTAGGAGGGAAAGGCCTTATCCATTGAGGCTTTAACCATTTTAGAGACATATTTGATATTAATCCAATTATTGCTTCGTCAACATCCCCGCATCCAATTTTAGGTTCCGAATCAAACCTGAAATTGATTAATGATAGTTAGATGAAAACAATGTCAAAATGATGACGACATAGGTATTTACAAAGTCATACCTCCAGATTTCCCAAACTCATTACCTGTAATTTGCTCCAGAGTTTTGCTTTAAAGGGTAAAAAACTAAATTTTTGAAATGAAAAATCATTAAACATAAAAAAAGAGTCATACTTTGCTGAATTGCTATCACAGCCAAGAGGCACATCAGGGTCTGGAATTGCGTTTCTCACATGCTTTGTATTGAACAGGGATACAGTTTCTTTTGCGTTTCGCACACAGGAGTTTTTTTTTGACCGTTCTGGTGAATCATTAACCTTAAGCTTTTTTTGCAAACCTTCAATTGTTGGAAAATCCTGCCAAGTTCAATGATGGGATAGATTAGGCACGTGATAGTGTTTGATGGTTGATAACATCATAGGTAATGGATAATTGAATCCAGTGATATAAATCTACTTCTTATAGAAAGAAAAGCATGAATTTAGCATTGTTATTACTCACATATTTTGACGGATCACAACTTTTCATAAATTCTTGAAAAGACTTCTTTAAAACCTGCAGGCATGAGAATGGCAATTTGAAACCTGCAGGCAGGTATGAAGGCTGCAACAAGAATGAATAATACGTTTGACTTACATATGTTGTTAAAGATGATGTAGCAGCTTGCAGGTATGATTTCTGCAAAAAGAACTAATATGATTACTTTCTCGAAATGTGACCAGATCATTTACAATATAATAGAATCATCACAAGTTCACCAAATATCACCCATGGAAACTTTCTTCTTTTTCTAGAAACAGAAGTAATCATTAATGTTGAGTCAATAAATAATGAAAAATAAAAGGAAAGGCGCAACCTCCTTTATAGTTGCGCATTCCAGCAAATGAAGAATAAAAGCCCTTTCACATTTATCAGCCTTCTGATCACACGCGGCCTGCAAATGCAAATGAAACACATTGTAAAGATGAGTTAATGTAAAACACTGCAATGCATAGGTGAGATGCGTTAGATGAAGGGTTGTTCTATTTCGTTATAATTTAATATCAACTGAAATTATGGATAACAACTCAAAATAGAGATATTAACTTGAAAAGCTAAACATCAACTGAAAGTTTGGATAATAAAGTTTGAGAGTAGAAGAGCCTCAAACATCTGGATAACTACAAACCATGTTTTCCGCTGCACATCAAGTGCTCTTTCATCACGCAAAGCTAAGCGTGTATCTAATTCTGGCGATGAAGCTTTGATTGTCTTTTCTAGAAATGACTTTGAAAGGGGATACAGTACAATATGGAACCAAGCAATCACAAAAAGTTTTTTTTTTTACCCCAGGGGGCATTGGGGGAGGGGGGTTTGGGGGGCCTGGGGTAAATTGGGATCAATCTCACTCCATTGAGAATTGAACCCGGGACCTCCCATAAGGGAGAGATAGTCGGCGACCAGCTGAGCTGGACCGCTTCCTCCCAAGCAATCACAAAAAGTATTTAATCTTTTTGAATATAAAACAATTTCAGTCGTTAAGGTTGAGCATGCTAGAAAAATTCCGTCCCTTCATGGCATAACAATCTTTCTGTGAGTTCTACTTTACTCCCAAGATAGAATATTTAAACAAAGGTCCCTCCATCCTGAAATGATATTCTAGTTTTGACTTATCAATGTTACAAAAATGTTTGTCGAAAATGAAAATGTGTGGTCAAGATTTGGGTGAAATGATTGAAATAATAACAACCACACATCTCTTTCCTTAAAAAGGGAATTGGAAGTTATTTTGGATGCTAAGACGGACCAAAGAGAAAACCAAAAGATATATTCAGGATGGGAGTATATATTCTGGATATGAATATTTCATGGTGTGTGATTAAGCTGTATCCAATGCTCAGTTACTTTTTAAGGCCTTAGATAATCCATCACTTAATTGAATTTCTGATTACCAAGTAGTAAGTACTTGTGAGCTAAATCTTACTTTCTAGTATTTGTGATTAATGGAATTACTTCATTGCCTTTCTAAACCCTTGCCCGACTCATCAGATGAAGGGTTGTTCTACTACGTTGTAATTTATTTAAGTTATTGAAGAATTATAGCTTGTCTGTTTCATGATTACAATAGCTTACTTTTAGATACTTATGGTGCTTGTTTCACTGTGCTGTGAATTTCACAGTAGTTCAGTATCGGTATAACCAACCGGAAATGACCCATTTGGCTAACCATATTGTTGCAAGCATTCAGTTATCCAAATTGATCGTGACAAACTGGTTATCACCCACCACTAATGAATGTTTGTCAACTCTTCCATATACAAATATACAAAAAATGAAATATTTAATCAGGTAATCCAATGACCCAGTGATTTAAGGATCTCAATTCTACGGTTCTACCTATTATATGTAAACAGAACAAAGCCCCTATAATGCAGGAGAATATCCCAAAAAATGGAAACACATTTGAACAAAAAATAATGTAAGGAAGCTTTGTATGCATTTCCACACAAACATAGTGCATTTGTTAATTCAGAGTGAGCATATTGAAATAATGAAACAAAATAGCAGACAGGATGCAATTCGAAATCAAATGTCATTAACTGTTTGGCAGCACAATTGCACTATGATAGAAAACTTACATTGATAAGAAACGGCAGGAAGGGATTTGAAGATAACTTTGGGGAAGAAAATGCTTGATGAATAATTGCAAAGGCAACCAACCGCTTGGAGGGATTAAGTACTTTGCCCTGCAAATATAGACAATAACTTATCGTAAAAAAACTTATGCTGTTTGGTGATCGATGCATTTAGTCAGATGTTTAAAGGTTTAAAGGTGATCGATGCATTTAATGATTCCAAGCTTGAAAACAGCAAAGTCATGGTCAGTGCCTGTAGTCATGATATTTGGTTTCACTTAACATTTGCAGACATGAAATAAAGCAATTTTTCTTGCACGTTGAAAAATACGTTGGTGATTGTCAAAATGGTGAAATAAAGCAATTTTTCACCAGGTGTACAAAAAAAACATTAATGCATTTTTGCTCGCACATTGTCAAAATGGTGACTTTGAAAAGATAATGCCACCTCAACTTTATTCAAGAACAGAAAAGAACGAAAAAGGAAACAAAACAGAAACAGCATAAACAACGAGACCCCTCCCCCCTCAATCAAGAATCAACATTAGGAATATTTTTTTTGAATTGACAGATACCAATTTCAGAACAGCCCCTTCATGTCGATTCAAGTACTGCATTAGATTACTAGAAAGCCAGTATAGTTTGAATGAAATGTTCATTTCACAATTTACTCCATGATGACTGACGAGTTGGGGAAGACAGGCACATAGACAAACTTTTCAATACCACAATCGAAGAAACCCCACAAGCACGTCTACATATGTACAATATAGAGACACGAGACACTGATTGAGAAATGAGAGGGATAATAAAAAAGGCTGGATTTATACCTCAAGGATTGAAGCGAGAGTATAACATACTTCGTTATAACGAATGGGTTTGAATTCTGATCTGAACTCTTCTTCGACAATCGATTCAAACGACTTGCCTTCGTCCTCTCCTAGTTTGAGCAGCTTTAGCAGGGCAACCGAATCTTCTTTCCTGGCCATCTCCGGTCCGTTGGGGTCTTAATTTCTCTTCAAATTATCGGAAGCGAAGGCAACGCAGAAGGCGTAAGGGGGTGATGCAGTCTGATAGCAGAGGTTGCAAAGAAGGGCGGCAAATGCCGAATAAATCATTCATGAAGGGGAGGGGCACTCCCGCGCTTGCGAGCATACCATACTCCATAGACCCGTACTGTGATACAACAATTTCCAACGGTTTTAACTGACATTTCTTGGATGTACAATCATTTTAGGTATCCTTAGTCCGTACTACATGCTATCTTCAAATATTCCCTTAATTAAAGTCCCTCATCGAAGTTTATAATATTTTGACTTTTTGAGTAAAATAAAATTTGTTAAATTTTTATCGCTAATCACTCAAAATTATTGATATTTGTCCTGAAAAATTATTTAGTGTGCTTTATTGTTTTATGTATTATTCAAATGTAAATTTATTGTAAATTTTATAGATATATATTTATAGATAATTACGATCAAATGTCCGCCTAGAAGACAACAAAAATCAAACTAACACTTTAATTTAGAAACATAGGGAGTATGAAATAATATAAATACGGAGTATAAGACTAAAATGGAATTTTTAAATATAGACAAGAAGTATATTTATATATATGACAAATAAAATTTATGAAAGTGCCGAACTAAAATACGACTTTGTATATTTTATTGATTATAGCGATAATTTTAGTCATAAATATTGCGTATTATGTTTAATTTTATATTACTGATCATAACACCATGCTAGTAGTAATTTTGATCACATTATAATTCAAACGGAGTACGGAGTATGTCTTATTTCAGTAATATTTAAGAAAAAAACTCGTGTTGATTTTTCATCATTTTTCCATTGGTCGATTAACATGTTGTTCATCGTTTTCACCAAGTCAAAAAGGGGAAATATTATATATCAATTGATTGTATTATTATGTGTGGCTATTGGCTATAACAAGTTTATAATCATCTAAATGTTTTTATTTTTCCTCTTCCAAAAAAATCAATTAATAGTTACTTTGATGTACATTTGGTCTTTCTAGCTAATACTTCGTATATCCTCTGTTGGATTAGCTCGATTTACTTTATTTTCCATCTGCTCGTGTATATTACTACCTCCGTCCCTTAAAACTATCCTCGCGGAGAATAATAAAGTAAAAACTGTGTGATTGAAGTTTGTGCAGGGGAGAGAGAAATAACAGAAACCACAAAATAATTGATTAAAAGGAAAAGTTGCAAAGTTTTTTGGGACGTCCCAAAAAGAAAAGATGACAAAGTTTTAAGAGACGGATGGAGTATGTTCCTATTTCGAATATAGTAATGTTTAATTTGATTCAAATTTGATCCTATTCAACACTATGAAATTATAGGGATATAATTTAGAGCATGAACCTATTTATCCAGCTTATCAAGTGCACATCTCAAACATTGAACATCTATTGAATCGAATTCGATCCTCATTTGTAACGCTTGTTGATTTTCAAATCCATATTTGAACACCACCATTATCAAATTGAGCAAAACTCGAGCTCTGAATGCACATGGTCAAATCCACTTGGTAATAGTCTTACTATATGCCTCTACTGTTTAAAGAGAACAAGGGTATCTTTGGCGCGAGTACCTGAAAAAATACTTTTGTGAGTTTTTAATAACCGTTAGGTTTAAGTGATTGAAGAGATCTTAAACAGAAAAGGTGGTAGTTGTTTAGTAAAAAATCGACTGTTTGATTTAGTTCTGTTTGGTATACAAGCTATGAGGACAAATTAATACTAAAAGTCACGGTATTTTCTCAGATGCTACTCCCCGTAGCATCTCAAAAAAGATCTTTTATTTTTTTAAAAGCTCTTAAAATTTTGCATGCCAAACATACAACTAAAAGATTTTAGAGACTTTTTAAACAGTACGAAAGCTAGAAGACAGAGACTTATGTCTGCCAAATAGACACTAAAAATGTGTTTAATTGAACTAATTTCAGTTACAGGACAAACCAAAATGATTTTATGTGGTTGATATTGAATTCATAAAGTAAAACTAAAGTCAGAATGATTTAATTTAAAACCACACAAACTTTATGAAAATTGGTATGAGACATTCTTAATTAGACTATGCGACAATCTTAGCAGGACGGATGAAGTATTAAACAATGAAAGAACCACAAATTATATAGTGAATGTTTCTGTTTCAATAATTTATTACTCCCTCCGTTTCACCATCTTTGACAGACTTTCCCTTTTTGGTTGTTTCACAATCAATGACACACTTCCTTATTTCCTTATTTGGTAAACAAATATTTACCAAAACAGTGTCAAACAGTGCCAAACAGTGTTCAAACAGTGCCAAATAGTGTTCAAACAGTGTTCAAACAGTGTTCAAACAGTGCCAAACAGTGTTCAAACAGTGCCAAACAGTGTACTCTACAGTAAAATTTACCCCCTCAGTAACATTTTTTCCTTAATTTTTGACAAGTCAAACTGTGTCAAAGATTGTGAAACGGAGTGAGTATTTAAACTATCGTACTCCTAATATTTTAAGCCTTGGTTGATATAAGATACACTGAATCTATATTTAAGTTCATAAAATTTCTAAATATAAGGTACACCGTCTATGTAGCTTAATTGATTAAAAACTAATTACATACATATATAAGTAAAATAAATGTTGTTACAAATGTGACTTTTTGAATGGAGTGACTATTGAAATATAGTAAACATAAAATTTTACATTTAAATAATACTACATCCGTCCCATAAAATAAGTTCCATTTCAATTTGGATCGAAGTTTAAGAAAGTGAGAATAAAGTGGAAATGTATGATTGTGGTTGAGTAAGAAAAAAGTAAATGAATGTTAGTCACACAAAACATTCCAAAAAGGGAAATGATGAGAACAATTTTTTGGAACGATCCAAAAAAGAAAGTGAGAATTATCTTATGGGACGGAGGGAGTTGTAAAACAATAACTTATTAAATATTAGTCACTTTTGCAATTAATTCTTTTTAAATAAATTTCATTCCCATAATATTTTTGAAAAACCTCATTAATTAATGCTAAAGCTTCATGAGCCCAAACTATGCACAGGCAAGTAGACAAAAGGGCAAAAGTAAAAAAGAGTTGTCCAGTCCATATTGGAGCAGTGTGTTTCCCGCCAACGAGGAAGAGTGAAGTCAAAGTCCCACCAATAGGCCACCATACCAGGGTTTTGCAAGTCTGGAAGGGCAGCTATCGTGCTCCCAGAAAATGGCTTCATCTCCATGCGCCGACAATCCTCCGCCGGAATCTTCCTCCGCCGACACATCAGAAAACAACCTCCAGGTAGCCCAATTTTTAATATAAATTGTCAGTGAATCAGTGTCCTTCCATTATTATTTATGCAATACTAAGAACTGGAACCTGATTTTGGTTATAAATAACGTCGATATATTTCTGTCATGCTAAATGAACAAAGCCATTCTATGTTCTCCACAAAGCCTCTCAGCCTCTATGCTCCACTACCAAATCAATTCGGGGGAAGAGGAAGACCAAATCCACAGCTAATGAATCTCAAGAGAACAAAGACGATATCCACCGAAAGATGGATGCTTTTCGCTCTGTATGGTTCAGAATTGAACACTCCATCAAGGTTTTTCGATCTCCTTAGTATTTGCATCCATGGTGTTCTTTCAGAGTGAATACTATTGGTGATTACTGATAAGTGTCTTCTTTTTAATTGAATTGAAATGAAGGATGTCTTGAGGAGTATAAATGCGGATGCTTTTGATGAGATAGGGAAATGGGTCAGTGAGTCTTTCGATGCAATGCGAGAGTGCACGGTGCCTGAGATCACCACAAAAGCCAGTCTTTCTTACCCAGTTCTATATACATATAGTGGGGCTATATCTCAAAGAAGATTATTCACTGCCCTGGTTTTCACCAGTTAGTCCCACACTTTCAAAAGATTGCACCACCTTCTACTTTATCACTGCTCCTATGTTTACTTTTCTGTTTGTGAATCCTTATTTACAGAAAATATGGAATCAATTTGCAGAAAATATGGAAATTGTCGATGATATATTGACTTTTCAAGAACTCCGTTTACAAATGATATCTAATGGATGCCATGTGGCTACCATCTCATCATTGGACTTCTGCCTTAAAAATGGCATTGGAGGGTGTTTAAGAAGTTTATTGCGACAGTTTCTTTCGTTAGACATTGATGTAAGCTGCAAACTTAGACTTCTGAGATAAAACTGGGTCTTTATATGATGTGTGAATAGCCATAATGTTTGTATCATTCTTGTTCTAAGGCTGCAGACATTTCCCTCCTGGCATTATGGTACAGCAAGGATGGAAATAGTGAGAAGCCATTAGTTGTCATTATTGAGGATCTGGAGAGGTGCTGTGGTACTGTCTTGTCAGAGTTCATAATTATGTTGAGGTATTATATCTACATTAGTTCATGGCAACCTTTACCAGAAAAATATTTTAAAAGTTCTGATCAAATTACCAATAATTAGTCAAGTATTTTTTTATATACAGATATCATGCCTTCATTTTTTTTTGAGTGGGCTTTTAGTTTTTGCAACATAGGACCTACCAGATATGTTATCGACACAAATTCATCACCAGAATACATACAGGTTGATTGAAAAATTGAACTCTTTTTGTCAGTTCTATGTGTTTAGGCATTAAGCTATCATCTTTTGAGCAATATGTTGTTCATGGGAAATAGTAGACAGAGTTGCTCTGATTGATTAAATAATACTGGTCTACTAAACACCTATTCATAGTTTATTTAATGATACACACAGTTTACTTAGCATCTGTTCATAAGCTACTAACCATGTTGCACAGAAACGTGGGAAACACGGGAGCGTGAAATGAGAAACATCATCTTTTAATGGAAAAACAACTTTTTGGAGAGTTCCCAAAGTTTCTATAGAGTTTCCGAAACGAAAATGTACTCTTTCTTGAGAGTTTCCTTGCTTCATAGGCTGCTAATATACATTATCATAAATAACTTTGTATATTACTACCTCCGTCCCACTAACATTGAGACATGAGGAGGTAGTGCGGTTAGTAAGAAAAGTGAATTTATGTGGTTGATAAAGTAAGAATAAAGAAAGAATGATTTAGAGGCACACAAACTTTACCAAATTTGGTATGAGACAATCTTAATGGGACGGACCGAAAAAGAAAGATGGGACAGTTTTAGAGAGATACAGGGTGTATTAAATAAACTAGTTTTCTATAATGTCATGCCAATTTTACCGAAATCTCTTTATCCTTCTATCTACCCACAGTGAATGGGCAATTAAGATCCCGATCATCTTAATAATGGGTGTTGCAACAAATATTGATGCCCCTAGAAACATACTTTCTTCACATGCACTTGAACGTTTATCTGCATGTGCATTTGTGTTGAAATCTCCACCCGAGAGGTTGGATTCAGTAATTGAAGCGGTTTTTATCAAGCATTGGGCTGGATTTAGTGTTGGTCACATGGTCGCAACTTTCTTAAGAAATTACTTTCTAAGACAAGATGGGACAGTAACATGCTTCATTAGAGCTCTGAAGGTCAGTAACTGTGCTCTTTAATTTTCCCTTTATATGTAGCTCTCATGATTTTGACATATCAGTATATCCTGTCATTACCTTATCTAAGTTAGATATTTGTTAATTATATGTTGCATCAATTGCCTTCCAGGTAGTTCTTGTTCAACTGTTTTCCATGGAGCCTCTTAGTTATATGTTAAAGAGGCTAGTTGATGGAGAAGAAAATAAGGTGTGAACTGCATTACTTTTTTATTGGTTTTGTTTTCCTGAAATATTCTCTTTTAAATGCTGACATGGTCATCTTTTGCATAAGTGGCGAGTTTTAGGAGTACTAATTTTTTTTATGTTCATTATGTATTTCATGCCAAGGTACATTTGAGCTCCATTTTCCTTGCTCAATGAAAACTTCTCCGGTAGGTGTGTGCTTGAGTAGTTGAGTATCTAAGTGGCCTAAACTCTAAAATTCTTATTGTTCTTATGTTTGGAAACTTCATGGATAATTCTTGAGGCATAATTCTAGTTCTTTGGACCTTTTGCAATAGTCATTTCATCTATCTGGTTCAGTTTCTTTTGGTAAAAAGCAGTATGTCTAGAATGTCAATTTGTTATATTAAGCAAAATGTTGGTTTTCAGGTTTTGGTCTTTTTTTCTTCTATCTCTCTAGTCAAATTCATCTTGTCTTTAAACTCTTTATACTTTATCATTTACTCAGTTTCACTTTTAGAACCACCAAGCCACTAGCGTTCTATCCACATGGCCAAATTCTGTTCGTACCCCCTTTTCCAAAATCAAACAACAACAACATCCAAGCCTTTTCCCCAAAATATTTTGGGGTAGGCTAACATGAATCGATCCATGATATCAGAGCCAAAAAGAGAAGAAATATAAGAAAAGAAGAAGATAAAGTAAGATAAAATGGATAAAGTAAAGATAAATATAAGATAAAAATAACATAAGAACATAAGAAAGATAAATGATTAAAAGATAAAAGAAAACAAGAAAGATAAATGAAGATAAATGATAAGAAAAATAACATAAGAGATTAAGAACATAGAAAGATAAAGAAGATAAAACATAAAAGAAAAAGTGAGAGAGAAAAAAGAAGGAAAAGAGATCAATCGCCCACATGAATATGTGCCCTCCATTTTGCTCTCTCCAAATCCGTACTCTCATCCAACCCAAGAAGAAGCATATCAGTTCTGATTTATCCAATCCAAGTCCGTTTGGGTCTTCCTCTCCCTTTCTTCCCCGACTCTTCTCCCCACCTCTCAACTCATCTAATAGGTGCATCACCCTGTCTTCTACGTGCATGACCGAACCATCGCAATCGAGACTCCTGCATCTTATCTTCTATAGGTGCTGCTCCCACCTTTTGTCTGATTATCTCATTCCTCAACGGTCTTTTCTGGTATGTCCACACATCCAACACATCCAAAACCAAGCAACCTGAAACATAAAATATCAAGAAAAAGTGTGACATATTTCCAGATGAAGAGTAATCTGGTCATTGATCTACGACCATCTTTCTCTCTGTTTTCTCTTTACTCTCTTTAAATAATGACGTCAAAACTATCACTATTACAATTTAGGTATAACTGTATTTGACTATTTGTAGAAGAGGCAACAAGACAACTTATAAAAAGGCCCTTACATAAAAACTATATAAGAAAGCTTAATTTCTTTCCATTTCCCCCTTTTTCTTGTTAGGTTAGTTCTGCCACATAAAAACTATTCATTCAATAAACTGAAACTCAATGCAACTATCATGTCCAAAGAAATTTTCAGGAAAATGAAAAATCAATGAGCCCTACCCCTGCAATTATCAATGCTCATATCCCATAGTTTTCCATTTATTCTGAAGCTTGGCATTATATGAGAGTAGTAATGTGATAAGTGTGAATGAAGTACCACCAACGAACATCAATATCTCACATAGATTGATTCTGAGTTGAAGGCTCATGCATAGATGCCATTAGGGACGTAATACAAGGAGTCTACTAAGGATTCCACACTGCTGCCATGCTTTAAATGTGGCTATTGAAGGTGAGGTTTCAACCTGGTAGAGTGGTGATGGTTAAGCTATCCCACACCGGTTTAATATCTTGGTAAGCCCGTGTTTTAATATGATATCAGAGCCAATTAAACTTCAACGAGCAATTAGATCTTGGTAAGCCTCAATCATGAACACACAGACGACAAGAATGGTCTACTTGAAGGAACCACCATCTTGCGGGTGTGTGCTAACTATTAAGCTATCACAAACCGGTTGCATATAAAACACAAATTAACATATAAAGTCTTGAGCTACTCCTCCTATTAGGTTGACCATTGTGATGACAAGCTTAGCTCATGCCTTCTTTTTTGGAAGGATGAACAATGAATTTTAACCCTCTTAATCATAAAATGGGTAAATGTAAATTTGGTCCCTTTATTAGATGTTATGTAAACGGTGTTGACAAAATGTGATAATGTAATGAGATTAGGCAAGCATAGGATGGAATTTTCAGCTCATTACAAACATAGAGGTCAAATAGACTGCTTAACCAAATCATCCTTGGTCAAAGTTTTGTCAAACAAGCTCTCTATGCATCACCCCTTCTTCTGAAATTAAGCTTGATGTTAACCTTTTCGGTCCGTCCTGAAGTATTCGTCATGCTTCAATATGGTTGATATTGTTTATTTCCTTTCTAAATAAATATCTAATAAATGGCGAACCTTCATGCTTCTTTATTTCACTCTTCTTAATAAGTGTGCCAAGTCAAACATGAAAAGTTATTTGGGATAAGAGGATTTATTAGATGCCAATCTGCATTCCCATGTGTGTTTGGACACTTATGTGGTCCTAGCTGATTTCACTTATTCAAGTTCTGTTGCTATCATGAACTGATCTAGATTTGCATATATTCCACAACTTTGTTCATGTTTGTGATAATTCTTCTATTTTTGTTATTATCTGTTGGCTTAAACACAAATAAGGCTTTACATCTCACATGGCAGGGATCATGCAAAGAGGATCTTGCTAAATTTTCACAAACATTGATCAGACATGCCTTTGAACTACCATCTTATTGCATTGATTCAGGAAATCGGTTAGTTTTGCAGCATGAGCTCCTATAAAATAGATGGTTTGAAGGAACTTGTTCTAAACAGTTCATAATTTTCCATAAACAGTCAGGCAGAACCAGATGTTTATTGTCTCGAAAAAGGCTTATTGGAATTAAAGAGATTAAATGATCTATGGGGATCTGTAGTGATGGTGAGGTCATAATTAAATATTCAGTTTTCTTCATATTTAAAAGCATTCTTCCTTTTATTTTACAATGCTCTGCAAAAGCCTTCTTTTCATATTCTCCATTGCTTTCAAATGAACTTCATTTTACACTGAGGTTCCTAGAGATGTGTTGGTTCTGAAATGAAAGTTCACTCATTTCTTTCCACATAATCTAATCTCTTCTGGTTGAAATAGTTTTCATTTTATGTTTTTTTTTGTGGCAGAGGCTATTTATTAAAAATTGCCATTTTGGACATGCATTATCTATAGTACTCTCGATAAAATCATGAAATGATGACTTTGTGCATATTTCCAACCATTCTAAAGCTACTGCCTGTGTGTAGATGTGTCAATGAGTTAGTGAATTAGCATTTGAATATGTGTCATCATTCTGAGTCATAAAATATAGCCATGCTAAAATCTGGCATGCAAACCTTTATCTTTTGAATTTTTGGATAATGAAGCGAGTCAAGTGACTAGTAACCAAGTTTCAGTATAATTTTTACGGCTTATTTTTATGTGAATGGTAAATAAATGCTGGTGCTTCTATATTACGTAGTATGTTTAGATATGCACAAGTTAGTTTTTTCAGTAACTTTTAATATTAAAAACCTCCTGCGCTGCATACACACTTTTAGGTTCAAATCTTGCTCTCATCATATCTGCTATTGAAGATATACTCATGTTCTGCCTTTCAACTATTCAATATTTCAATGAAATGGTGTTTAAGAGACTCCTTTCAAAGTAGCGTTCTATCTCGTGACTTAGTCTGGTACATTTCGCAGTGTCTATATGAAGCTGGAAAGAATTGTAAAGTTGCACTACTGGATTTGTACTGGGAGGCACTAAATCCCGAGCTATGCAAAACCTTAGTTTCATCCCATCAACAGAAAGGGGGAAATGACATGCTGACAAGTAATCACAGTTTATCAGGATTATATCATGCTTCAAAAAAGGGCAAGTCCATTGATCAGGTCATCCTTAACCTGAGGTAGTATTAGGAAATTGATTTACAGAAGAATATTAAAGCGTTACACTTATTTTATCAATACTTATTATAGCTATTAAGCATGTGTCAGTGAAATCTTTTTACAGGATTTTTTTTGAATCCTGTATTCCTGTTGCATACTTATTACTCCCTCCGCCCCCCTAACTTTGTCCCGTTTTACCTTCTCCGTCTGTCCCATACCATATTTGGTAATATTTGGGTGGCTACAGTTCATTCTTACTTTATTCACACTTTATCAATTCAACACCAACCACACAATTCCACTTTTCTTAAAAATCGCATCACACCCTTTAGTCCCAATCTTATTGGGACGGAGGTAGTATTTGTTAATGCTTGATACTTGATTTCCTGAAATGCATTTTCTGATCTAGAATTTGTCGCTCGGTGGTTGCTGTTTAATGCCTTTTTGTGTAGAACTATTACGGAGAACTTGTTTAAAATGTGTTTTATGTTCTAAGCTACTTCTCCAGTCTTTTTCATGTCCATTTTCTTCTCTTTTTCATTTTTCATTGCCATGATGGCAGTGCTTGAAGTGAACATAAACCACCATCTAACTATGTTGTTTAAGTTCACTCTTTTGGAAGATGGGAGTTTACATAATTACATAAGCTAGGTTGGATAATATTTTCAAAGGAAAATTCGCAATAGGAGTAAAAACAATGCCAGATTCCAAAATGGAGTACTATGTTTCCCCTAAATAGGGACTACATTACTGTCAGCCTAAAAATTTGCTGCATGTTTTGACATTAACAAGCTTTAAACATGATAGTATATTGCCATAAGTGGAAGTATACTGTAATAAGTGGAAGTATTTACCAAGCTTGACAATAATTATTCATATTTATTTAGGGAATAAAAACATAGTACTCATATTTTGAATTTTTCAAACGTTTTTACTCATATTTAGCGCAATTTCTTTATTTTCAAATACTACCTCCGTCCCAAAATGATTGATACATTTTGACTTTTCTTTGTCAATGGTGGTAAATTTTAGACGATGATTTTAGGTATTATATTTGTTTGTAATTTATAAATTTAATACTTTTATGTAAGATTTTTTAATAAAGAATGTGTTCATATAATTTTCATATTTTAAATAATTTTGTATTAAAAGATATCATTGGTCAAACTTAACCATCATTGACCAAGAAAAGTCAAAATGTATCAATCTTTTTGGGACGGAGGGAGTATAAGTTTGTTAAAGTATAATAATTGACTAATCTGTTTTTTCAAAATTTCCATGAATTCTTTTGATCATGATGATACAGCTGATGCTTGATTATATTTTTAGAAAATGTATATATTATACATGAATAGTTGGGGTGATAATTGCAGATCTCAACTCTTCATTTCTGTGATAGCTAGGCTTGATAAAAATACTGCTGTAAAATTTAAAATCCTTACTTAACCTTTCAAAATAAACGTCGTTTTGGCTAAGAATAAATTAACAGAATGTGTTTTGGTTAAGAATAAAGTTACAGAATGTCAGAATGTCTTTCGTTTTATACAACAAGAGACCGTTGCCGACTTTCTACTTTGTACACTTTCTTCATCTGAGTTCTCAATTATTTTAACGTCCAATGTTGGTTGCAGGGATATAAATTAAGGGTAGTTTATGCATAACCCTTTTTTTGCAAGATTCTAGGTTATTTAATGATTGCCTTAATACATGTGATGTCTAACATCAAAAGCCCTTAAATATGACATGGTGGGGGTACTTTATTTATGTTGAAATGTGAATCCCTTTACTCAGGGCTTTACCTACTGCAAAGTTGGGCCAATTGCTTAAAACTTGGGAAAAGCTTGTTGAGGGCAACAATGAGGTATGCCAATGACTTTTTCTTGAACAAAAAATTGCAAAATACTTTGACTGTGTCACTTAATTTCTATAAGAGTTCCCCAGCCCAAAAGTTCAGAATACCTAGGTTTTCATTGTGCAAAGACTGATATAATTTCACCTTTCCCTTCTCCAAAGACTGATATAAATCTATGTAGACAAACTCCACAGGATTAATTTTTCTATCACATATGACTACGAGTATATGAGTAATAATCATATCATCTTTATTTATTTAATTTTATTTACATGCTTGGTAATTAGGTAGTCACTAAAATATGACATAGGTGCTAGCTTATAGCGCTATACTAAATATGAGCCTATATTATTATTTTAAAAGAAAAGAAATATCTAAATAATTTTGGGTGTCGATTTCAAAAAGCTCTTAGTCTCTTACTCCTTTAAAGCTGGACCACTCTTCCCCTTTTCATTTTTCCTCAGTAGGAATCCTTTCCTAGTGAAGCATGTTCTAAAAAAATACACGCTGACAATAAAGTTTCCTAATTATATGATTTTAGTTAGTTTTCTTGGTTTACTTCATTTTCCAGGTTCAAATGAAAATAGATGAACTGCAATCATTGGTGCAAAGTGCAGATAAGATGCATTCTAAGAGAGAAACACCAGATTCATCAAAGTATGTATGATTTTTGTACATTCTCTTAGAGAAACAACAGATTTACTTTTCTATGCGGTTGTATTCACTTTTTTGAGGAACCATATAACTTCCAGAAGCACCATTCTTCAATATAATGGAAGAGAGCCATTTATTTAATTATATTGGATTCATTGCAACTTTTAATTTATGTGCTAAGTCTATGTTTGAAAAATCAGCTGATTAATTTTAGATCCAGTCAAGATAGCTCTTCATCCAAACAAGGCTACATGTCATTTAATTGTCTAGATCTATCAAATTTCAGATCATTTTGAACTGAAATGGGCATCCAAGCATAGCCCAAATATCATTAATGACTTTTGAGGTCTCATATATCTTATTCACGTCCTGAACAATGAATATATCCTTCCTGAAAAAGTAACATAAATTTTTGTTTATTCTTGAGTTGAGCTTGAGACTTTACTTTTCCACGTACAGTGAACCTAATCTGTCTCTGGAAACAACATATCTTGGTTAAAATATTGAATTACTTAGATATTCTGATGAGTTTTAGAAAGCCAAGTTTTTTTTTTAAGAAAACACGCATGTATTGATCACTGGTTTGATAATTTGGAAATGCCAAAAAAGTACTATTCCACTGCTCATGCTTTGAATTCCAATAAAGAAGAAACTTTTATTGTTACTATTATTTATTTCCTTTATTATGTTGTTTATGAGGCAGGAGACATATATCCCAGGGCAGAATGAAAATGGAAAAGGATGGGGGTGTATTGAATGAGAGAGCTGTAAATTTGGCTTGTGACATGATGAGGTATGGGCGCTGTATATTTATTACAATTTCAGAAGTCAAGGTCTTTTACTGGGCTGGTTTACTTCTATACATTCAAAAGAATCTGTCAATCTGTGTAATCTCCCAGTCTTCTAACAAAATCTATTTAGTACTTGTTGCTTTTACATGTTAAATGAATGTGAGTAAATGAAACTCTTTTGAAAGGACCATTGCAACCAATAATAAATTAATAACTGGAGTACTTCATTCAAGAACATTCTCTGCCGATATGTTTAAAAATGCCTTACTTTTATTTTTTTCCTTTGAAATAGGAAATTCATGCAACCACTTGAGTCTCTACCATTTCATGAAATTGTGTGCTTCAAAGATGTTGACAAGCTGCAATCAGTTAAGTACCATTATACAAGCTTGATTTGTTGACTGTTCAAGTTAATGCAGAAGTAGTGGAGTAATATATTTTTATGGCTGGCAGTATTTTTCTAAGAGTTTATCAAAATAGGACTAAAAGTCACTCACTTTGCACAAATAGGACCAAAAAATAAACTATGTTTTCATAGGACTAATTATGTGTCTTAGACAAATATACCCTTATAGCTATTGAAATGTTTTAATTCATAATAACATAATAAAAAATAATAAAAATTCGTAAAAAGTACTAAAAAATTAATAATAAATATTTCGATAATAATTTTTTTTTTGAAAAAAAAAATTTAAAATTTTTTTAAAAAAATAAAAACTCAAAACAAAAAATTCACCGCCGCCTCTGCCACCTCAGCAGCACCACCTCCAGTCACCAGGAAAAAAAATACCAAATTCATTATGAATGCCATATTTATGGCAGAAAACAATGAAAATGTTGGCATTCTCAAAGAGAAATATGCCATTTTTTTGACATTTTCAGAAAAAATGGCAGGTTTTAGGAAAAATGGCATTTTTTTTGACCGCCCGGAGGTGGTGGTGCAGTGAGGTAGTACAGGCGGTGGGAAAGGCATCCGTATTTTTTTTTGGAGTTTTACTTTTTTATATTATTTAAAAAAAAAATAATAATTTTTTTTGAATTTTTTTATTTTAAAAATATTTTATAAATTTTTAGATTATTTTTCTACGAATTTTTGAATTTTTTTCGAATTTATTATGAATAAATTATTTAATTATGACTTTTGACTATTTTTAACTCATATTTAAAGGAAGGGTAAGAATGGAATGAAAAAATAGGTATGTTTCCAATAGGACTAATATAGTCCTATTTAAAAAAAAAACATAGCAAGTCCTATTTTGAGTTTTTGCCATAGTTCTAGTCCTATTTGGAGTAATTTCTATTTTTCTAACATGAGAAGGTCTGTTAGTCTCAGTATCTCTAGCTTATATGTGTGTATATATTTTCTCATTCATCTAAGATCTTGATTAAGTTCCCATTGAATAACCAAGGACATAGCCATATGAAACTGAATGCACCTTTTCATTTGGATGACATAGAGTCTAATTCAAAGTTGACCACAGGCTTTGACAGGAGATCCAAGGAGAAGAATCCAAAGAGATCTTCTAGAATTCCAAAGAATACTGAAGTGTAGTTGCTGCAGCAAGGCTGGAATTTTACTGTCACCCTCCATGCATGATACCTCAATCATGTAAGATATTCTCTAGTTGCTTGAATCCAGTCCAATTCTTCATGGAACTGCTTGCTCGAGCAGTCAATTGCTATAGTATCATACCATCATCCTGACCAGGGACTGATCCAGAACTTCTGGTCAAGGGGGGCAATTTTTTTTCATGAGTGTAGGGGGTAAAAAATTTTCGCTAGTGTAGCGCGGATTTTTTTTTTGCTAGTGTAGCGGGGCTTTTTTTGCTAGTATAGGGCTCTGCGGCTATTTTTTGTCCAAAAAAATTTCATTAATACATACACGACGACATTTAAAACTATTACATTCTAAGTTTAGACAATGGAAAAATAACTTTGATTTTATAATTGAAATGCTCTAGAAAAAAGTATTTATAAATTAAATCGTAAGTAATAGCAAATCAAAGAAAAGTTATTTGAAGATAAAGAGTTTAAAAGCTACACATACACCAATACTTTTTAACTACCTTTTGCCTTGTTTAACCACATGAATCTTTATCAGAATAAAGAATTGGTTTTTGAATTACATTTTTTGTCTAATAAAGAGGGTGTTCGTGAGTCATGAGGAGTTTTCTTATTATTACAATAGCATGTATGGCATTATTATTTTTAGAATAATATTATATTGGTGATTCATATATATGGTGCATATTATATTTATATTAATGCTAAAATAAGTTAAAGTTTATTATCCATGCAATAATTAATTTGTAGAACGTAACAAGTAAATGAATTGTGTAATTTAATGTCAACAAAAATTGAGTTCCCTTCTGTGGTTATGTTTGAGGTAGGAAAAACTCATTTATATCTTTATGCAATTCTATACAATTACTCTGTATATGATTTGTCCAAGTGCTGATCTGAAACACAAAAATCACCTTATGCAAAAGTCAGTTTATGAAGACTTTTGAGTTTAAGACTAAAATATTCCTTTTAACCCTTGCACATCCCTTCCATCCTCAATGCCAATAAGGATGTTTTTACTTGGACTGTAATTCGTCCCAGACCAGATCAGACCAGACCAGACCAGACCAGACTTGGATAGTTATAAAAATACAAAAAGACCAGACCAGACCAGATCAGACCAGACCATACCAAATCAGCAAGTAAAAACATCCTAACTTGTAATTCTCAAAAAAACTTTGCTACTGCACTAAACAAAAGCAATTATCAGAAGCTTTTTTCCAATAAGGAGATTATTGCTACTCCAACTTCAATCCCAAATTAGGGCCTTAGCCTTTCCAACCAATATGTGCTAATGATATTAACATCTTATGCCTTCAACTCAGCTGGCAATCCTTTTAATGACTTGAACTTTTCCCATCATAGGTATACACTGGCTCAAGAGCATGGCGATCTCATCAACCTCCACGACTGGTTTCAGTCTTTTAAGGCTACTGTTTCTTGCCAGAAACAACGATCAAAGCAGCCTCCTTCACCAAAAAAGAGAAAAGTTTCAAGCATTCCTCAAAACAAATCTGAAGCATCAATACAGTATCCTCTCTTGCTTTAGTGTTTTTTGGGGGTGGGGGCTCACCTGGACACTAGAATAGGGACGCTTGTGCTTAAATTTATTCTAGAATAGGGTCAAATAATTACAACGTTGAGTATTAGAATATCTACAACGGGGTCCCAATTTTAAAGCCGTTTAAGGTAATACAACATCTAACAAGATAACATTCAGAAGTGGATTTCATTGTGTTGAAATTGGGACTTGGAAATGTTCCTAATTTATAACTGTCATCCTTCACTTAAAATTGCATAGAGCAAGGTTTTGCAGGGCCATAATTGAGCTGCAGATAGCAGGCTTACTTCGGGCACCCAGCAAAAGGCGTCCTGATTATGTTCAGAGGGTAGCCTTCGGGTTGTAACTTTTAATTCAGGTAAAAAAGTTGATCCTTGTTTTAAATGCATAATTTTTTGTTCTCTTTGAGATAATACAGTTAAGGACTTCAACTGATGAAGTTGGTGTTGAATTTTGCTATTCATTTTTTTATTTACATAATGTAAATTTACAAATAACACCACATAATTATTAAGCTTTGGAATTTCATCTCATTATTTCTTTGTAAGAATGTTGTGCCATGAAGGAAATCTTGACGTAAAATGTTGCCTCTGTTTTTCGTGGAGTTATTGTGCTAATTAATTTTAGACAAATAACAGATAGAATGAATTACACGTTACCAACCCCGACATAGTCTAAAACATGAGATTAAGGCGCCAATGATGAACTTACAATAGAACTTCTCATTACCTTCCTCTCAAAATTTGGTTTATTTACATTAAAGTGGTTTATTTATGCTGGAATCAGTTATTGCTCCAATTTGCTCCTAGAATCATTTTTTATAAGTTGGGAGAGACCAGTTTCTGAACACACCCCTTACTTTATTCTTGCACCAAGTAAATTCGTAATATAGTAGTGTTATTTGTGCATTTATGAACTCTTATTTTAGTTTTGGCACCAATTAAAAACCTCTCTTATGAAGTTTGGTAAATGAACGAGATGTACTCATGTACTAATGCAAAATTGCAAATGCAATTATCCAAATTTATGTGTAATATAAATATACAGTGCGTATATACTTGTTCAAAAACAAGAGTATTAGAGTATAGCTTCATTATGGTAAATAAACACAACCCATGGGCTTCCTCAATCCTAGTTAGGGATGGCCCGGGACGAGCTTGGGCGGTATTGAAATTTTGAGCTTAAGGCCCGGTACTGGCCCGGGATTCTACCGGGACCGGGTTGGTCTACCCGCCCGGGTGTCGGGTTGGATCAGGCAATATTTTTTTAAAAATCTTGTTTTAAAAATTAATTCAAGAAGTGCTAGACAATAAAAAGTTAAAGTATATTCATTTGAAATATGAACTACAATTGAGAATTGAAAAAAAATGAAAACATTAAATACATTTCCTAATAATCAGTCGGAATTTCTGGCATTGTCGGTTATTGTTTCCTCCATGAAGTGGTGGGTGGGGTGATGTTAAGTTCTTGAGTTCTATGTTCGGCCTTCAACTAATCGTGGAAGCAAACAAACGTCTCAAGAGATTTTGTGCTCAATCTCATTCTATAATTCGTTAGGATGTTGTTGGTTGCATTAAATTCGTGTTCTATGGCAACTGTTGATATCAGCATTGCTAGCATTTGCTTAGTCATCTTTGATAAAATCGGGAACGTTCTTTCTTTTTCCTTCCACCACTGCAGAACATTAAAGTCATCCTCGTCTTCATAGTCAACATGAAACATTAGATATAAAGAAAGCTCGTTAACTGAGCTTTGTGCAACATCGGGAGTTGTTTTACTGTTTTTTCTCATAAGATTTCAAAAGAGATTTTCCTTTAGATGAAGAAGATGTTTGTGTCGGGGGAGGGAGCGCGTTACCATATTGTGCATGAAACTCATTATATAATTGATGAAATAAATTACTAACCTCGTTGTATTGCTCTTTATGATCTATGGGCCTAACGGGCTTAAATTTAGAAAATGGACCAAAAAAAGAAGCATAATAGCACTCTAAACAATTTTGAAAAGCATTAAGTTTGAAATGAGGATCATGATTAAATGCAATACCATATATATGCGGAATATGTGAATAATATTTTAATAACTTTTCTTTCATGTAAGAACAAAAGTGATGAACATAAGGGGTATCAAAAAATTCAGCAAAAACACCGGTGTGAGTAACAGTTTCAATAAAAAATTGGTTTGCACTAAATTTATAAATATGACTAAAAGTTTGAGTTGCACTATTAAAATATACCAAAGCATTGACAATTTTTTCCATAGTGTGGATGTCAGCCGGATTTATAATATAGTTAGCATATTCTTTTACAAAAGCATGAAAATGGTCTTTAAATCTAAGAAGTACAACAATTAACTTATAAGTATTATTCCAGCGAATAGACAAATCTTTAGGAAATTGACAATATTTCACATGTCTATCCTTCAAATATTGACGACATTTCATTTTTAGTAGATTACTAGCCCAAATAAGTCTAAGGGAAAAATAATTAAAATACTCCAAACTTTGAAGGGGTGTGAAATAAACACCCCAAACTTTCATATGTAATTAAAATACCCCAAACTTTATATAAAAAGTTATTTTAACACCATGAACATGTATTATATATTTCAAAAATGTAAATTTGTGAAGTTAATTGCATTATTTCAAGTAGCAATTTGAAAACATTGCAATTATATAGAGTGGGGGTAATACTATTTGTTTCACAATGCAAGTTTAGAATGTTAATTATATTTTCATGAATGCTAAAATATTATAAATTATGAAATTAACACAAAAAATTAACATTTTTGAAAGAATACATGATCATGTTGCTAAAATAACTTTTTATACAAAGTTTCAAGTAATTAAATTACATATGCAAGTTTAGGGTGCTTACCTCACACCCCTTCAAAGTTTGGAGTATTTAAATTATTTTCCCCTAATTTTAAACCCCCCAAACCCCAGACCTCTCCAACGGTTATAGAGTCGTTAGGCTCACTCCACACAAGGCTGCAAAGCCATTAAATGGTTTAAACAATTTTTGTTTTAAATATGGCCGTTAGGCCCGGATCGGTCCCGGGCCGGCCGGTCATCATTTTGGCTGTCTTGCAACCTGTCCCCTATCCCCGATTCCGGCCCCCCAGTACTGATCCTGGTCCCGCCCGGCGGTCCGGGTCAATGATATGTTCTTGGTGGCTTCTCCATATATGTCATTCCTTAAAAGTGAAAGAAAGAAATAATATAATAATCAATGATATATGTTTCATAAGGATAATTAATATAATAATCAATGATATATGTTTCATAAGGACAATTTTATTTTTGGAAGAGGGGGCATACATTTATATCACACATAAGCATTCAGAAAGGGGTTAAAACGATATAAGGACCACATGAAACTATCATCCTCGAACCAGACTTAGAATTAATGAGCTTACATGAGCCAAAGACAGATGCAACAGACCTTCTATCCTCCCAATCGTAATGCAAGAGTCTTACAACCATAAATAAAAACAACATAAAAGTAAACGGTCTGATTAAAAATAATAACAACAAAAATAGCAATAAAGTAAATATACTTCTCCGTCTTCAAGTGCACCACCACCACCCAAGCAAAAGGCCTGTCACGCAACATCAGACTTGCTGGCGGATCTACTGGTCTAGACTCGTCTCCTCTCCATTTTTTTGGCCTATCACGCGCCATACTCTCTCTAGCTGTCCTCCCGTTCTTTCTCTTCCCAGTTCCTCTTCGCTTTTGCTCTCCTGGTGTCTCCTGAGTTCACATAATTTCCTTCCTTAATGGAGCTAGTTCCAGTTCCAGTAGTAGTCTCCTTCCATCCTTGACCTCCTATTACCTGACTGTCACTTTTATGCAGTATTCCTATACCTATGTACTTGAGGACCATTCAAGTAGCCACTTATTGCCTCCAGTAGGACTAGTCTCCCCCTCCCTCCAGCTCTAAGATGAACTCCATAAAATTTATCTAAGAGAGTGTTGTCTCCCTCATACACTACTAGGCAAAACTTATCAGAATGGTCAATAATCCCACAAATAAAGCAAAAATTTGGGAGTTTTTCATACTTAAAATCCACCCAATGACCAATTCCCCCTTTCTTCAAAGTTGTACCTTTTTTCAGGGGTTTCCTTATATCCATACAAACCCTAATCCGCATATAAGCCTCCTATTTTTCATCAAGTTGGCTTTCATCAAAACTAATAAAATTTTCAATATAGTTGATCCTAGATTCATAAAACCATAAGCAACATTATGAACATGTACCCAAAATTCCACCTCATTCAGACTAATCTTTAGCGGGATATCCTCAGGCCTAATCTCTTTAAGGATCAACAAATATAATTTCTCTCAAACAACCTCTGACCTTCATCTAACACACGTCTCATATCCAAATTGTGATAAAAGTAAAGATATACCTCTTTTCACCAATTTCCTTAATTGACACACCTTTAATCGGTCTCCATAGAGATGCCATAAGTTCCTTGAAGATATGGAATTTGATCTTTCGATCCGTGAGTATCGTGCCCACCACTGGAAACGACGCCTTCCCCTCGCCTGCCGCCGCTTCCCCTCCTTCGTCGTCATCGAAGATAAGTTCCTCACCATCCTCGCCTAATGCCATTTGTTTGTATTGGTAACAATATCTTCCATCGAAGAAACAACCCTGTAGCTGCCCTTGAACTCGAACCGCAGACCTATGATAAATGATAAGCGAAAATTTAATTATGACACATATTAAAAGAAGAAAAGTGAGAACTTAATTCCGTGATAACTTTTTGGGATGTGGGAAGAAGAGATTCTTTTTCTAGAAAGCATAAATTTGATTGCATTACAATGTGTCAATTTATTGTGACATTATTACTTCAACATCCATAAATTTTATGTATTTTAAACTAGTCGCGGGGTTCTAAAAAAACCAATTGTCGGGTGAAGCTCTAGAAAACATACTTGTAATATATTTGCAGTGACAATCAGTCTTAGAGCCCATTTGGTAGTATCAAAATCCATTGAACTGACTGATTCTACTGGAATTTATGAAGTTCTGACTAAAGTGTTCGAATTGACTGATTCTGTTGATTTTTGAAAAAATTATATTTAAAATATATATTGTTAATTAAGTAAAGAAAAAATTATATGTAGAAATAGCTAAAAGATCATTACACTAACTTCAGCCAATACAACCAGAAAAGTAACTATGACCTTACTTTTTTGTATTATTACACAATTCAAGTGGGCGAAATCAAAAATTATGTGTTTGACGAAAAAGTTGGATGATAAGCCTTGAAAGCCGAAAAAACATGGTTACCAGCTCTTAATCAGAAACCAACATGATTTTTCCCGAAAAAGAACGAGCCATCAGAAAATCTTAGTTATGTGTAGATTACTTTTTTCTCATTCTATTTTATTTTGCACCACATGTTCATTAGTAGGGGTGGTTCGGTACGGTATACCGAATATTTTTTCTCATATCTTTGTCGTATCAAAACTTTCGTTATACAAAATTTATATACCGTTACCTTACCGAAGTTTCGGTATACCGCATTTCGATATACCGAAGTTTCGATACGGTAACAGTACAGTATCGGTAAATTAGCATGCATGTCTCTCAATACAACAATTTATCATAGACTAACGAAATATACTAAATCGGTTTTACTAGTGACATATTTAATCCATTATTAAAATGTTACAAAATACAATTAATAATCTATTGATGTCATATTCAATATTGAACTAACAATAATTATCAGGGCCGGTCTTGAGAAAATATGGGCCCTGTGCAAAAAACAAATGTGGCATTTTCCTAAAATAACTCTTATTTAAAATTTAATAATGCTTATAATATTAAATTAAAAATTAATGTATCACTATCTAAAATAGAATTCATAAATGTAAGATGTGTTTGGAATTGAATGGATAATTTGTCAAAGTAATATTTATATAAAAAATTATAAATATAGTTGATAAATCTAATGAATATTTCATAAATATCTAATTGGTTATTAATTTAATAATGGCATGGAATACAAAAAATAGTCATTACTTTGATTACATATTAATTTCAATAATTGTAGTTGATGGTATTGGGCTTAAAATCTTATGAGTTATATCAATAATTCTTTGGTACAAAAACAAAAATTGAAAGAGTGTTAACATCAACCAATTTGGTTGAACTGGTTCGCCGCCGGCGTGTGTGAGAAGGTTGGCAAGGGTTCGATTCCCCTGGCTCAAAACTTTTTAATTAAATAGTGGGATTTTACTCATTGGGCTCTAATTAGTTAGAAGGACTACAAAAAAATTGGGCCTTCAGGATTTTCGGGCCCTGTGCAATCGCACAGGTGGCACTTGGCCTGGGCCGGCCCTGATAATTATGATTAGTATATTTAAGCAGTTCAACATGCCACATATTAAAAAATAACCCATTCTCCTAAAATAACCTGAACAATATAGATATAATTAAATTAATAGTGATCACTAAAAAAATTATTCAAACAACATGGATATAAAATCATTTATTCCTAATATGATATTGTGTATTTAGTCATTTTTATAATTTAAAAAAAATATAAAAATGAGACTTTCAAACAACGTTATGTGCAGTGTCTCGACTCACGGAATCCTCATGTAGACACTCATCACATAAGTGTATTCCTATTCACTCGTCAGTTACTCAGTGACTCAACCATCACGACTGGCAAGCTCTTGGAACAAGATGAATTTGTTTCTAGACATTAGTACATTACTCATTAGTCATTTGAGTTAGTTTGTTTGAATTTTACGTAGTAGAAGCCTAGAAGATTATAGTGGGTTTGAGAAATTGGGCCTTTAATTTTGTATTTTGTTATTTTTAATCAACCTAAGTATTAATTTTGGGCTTTAAAATTGTACTGGACTTTTACAATCTTTTAGGATTAAAAGTAATTGTTGGGTAGAGAGTAGGTACGGTATTATACCGGTATAACGCGGTATTTTAAATCATTTATCGTTACCGTACCGAAATAAATCGGTATGATATCATACCGTACCGAAAATGACGATATACAATATTCCGGTATTTTTCGATATTTTTCGGTACGGTAAGTGCGGTATACCGATTTTCTAGTATTTTTGCCCACCCCTACTCATTAGGCTGGAACCTTTGAATATAAATTTGTAGGCAATTAATCAAATGAATATTCAAACCAATACTATACTACTCCCTCCATCCCGCTAAGATTGTAGTACGTTTTATTGAGTTTATAACATTCCAAGACGATGCTCTGTCTTTTTTTATACATTGGGAAGGAACACTGTATATCCATGATTCTATTGTTCCAAAAGGTGGAATCTCCCACCCCAGGAGCCCTCCCACCCCGACCCGACAGGATGGTGGGGAGGTTAGTCACGATGACTCAGTCACCAGAATGGCAGTAAGCCCATACACCCGTGCGCACCAGAGGCCCAGCCTTATTTCAGGTTCTGTGACCTCCACCCGATCACTGCGGGGATTCGAACCTTGGTCCATTGTTCCAAATCTCCCACCACTCGACCAACTGAGCTACCCGTGCGGGTATATCCATGATTCTATGTTACTGTACTTCGATCTTGATGATTAATTAGTGTTCTCGAGCTATATATATCTTCAATGTTGAGCAGGGTCGGTCCCCAAAAAATGGAGACCCTGTGCAAGAATAAAATTTGGACTTTTTTTAAGTTGCAACACACACAAATTGTCTTAAAATACTAAGTTATCAATTATTGAAATTCTCCTCCAATCCTATACATGTTTATAAATTTTAAATTAATATTCAGTTTAAAATTAGGGTGAAAACATGAAAGACTATACTAGTATAATTATAATTTACCTAATTATATTTTTATACCACTTTCTTAAATTTTAATTGCTAAACACATTTACACATTTATTATCAATTCAAATAATAGTTTACTTTAACTGCAAAAAATCAACAAATACCAACAATGCAACAATTCAACAAACATAAAATCAGATAATCAGAAAATAAACAAATTACAATAATTCAACAATTCAACAAACAATTCAACAATTCAATAATTCAAAAATTAGCAAGAATTAGCAACTAAATGAATCACAAAAACCGAAAATCAGTGATTCAGTGGACTGACCGAGTGACCAGACTCAGGGAGCCTGAGGGAGGCGGCTGGCGGGTCGCGGTGCGGCAGTGGCGGCCTGGCAGTTGGTGTCTTGGTGACGGTCTGATGGAGGGTGGTGCGCAAGTGCGTTGCAGCTCTGGTGCAGCCGTGCAGTGCCGCAGTGGTGCGTCCGTGACTGCCGGGTTGTGCGGTTGTGTCGCAGTGGCGCATTCGACCCCCGTTTGGGACTTGGGGGGCCTTGGGGCATTGGGACTTGGGTGAATCGCGAATGGGGTTAAGGGGGGAATGGCGGACGAATGATATCGGGAGTTTGGACAGAGATTTTGGGCGCAATAATTTATTAAACGTAAAGTTGGGCTGGGCTGGATCTAATACTAATTTTTTTTTGGCCTTTCCTAAATTTCGGGCCCTGTGCGGTTGGACTGGACAGCTTTGCCATGGGTCGGCCCTGATGATGAGTAAAGTCACTCTTGAATCTCATAGCCTCTTTTTAACAAAGCCAGGTAGGGGCGGATGTACTTGAGAAGCCCAACCCAATTTTTTAGTTAGTATAGATATACGTTATATTCTGAGCTCATCTCAAAATTAATTCTCAGTCCAGCCCAAAGTAATCTCCCAACCCAAATCCCAGCACTTACCTGCGTTCTCAGCCTATTGACTTATGCAAATTAGAGCTGCGAACGATTGAAGACCTGCGAACTGCGAAGCGAGCTTGCGACGAGGATGAAGGAGCTGCGAAGTGAACCTGCGAGGAAGACGTGAACATCAGCCGCGCCACCTACGTCGTCCGCCCACCACTGTCCTTGTCCGCCTCTGGCCCTCTGCGGCTCCGCGCCTCCCTCCAGGGAAACTCCAAGTCTCCAATTGTCCAAATTTAATTCCTGTTTTAGATTTTTGATGTTTTGTTGTTGTTAGATTGTGAATGTGTTATTCTCCAAATTCTATTTGTAAACTCCAATTGCTGACTTGGAGTTGTAAGTTATTGTGTATTTGTGTATTAATATATTATTATTTTTAGCATTTTAGAGTTTTAGGGTTAGGGAATCATTATGATTTTTAATTGAATTTTTCAGTACATAATTAAATTGTTTTTAATTCATTAAAAATTTAGAATTATTAAAGATAGAATTAAAGAGTAGAAAATGATTTAATTATTATACAATTGAAAATTGAGAATACTTATTACTTTTATGTACACGTGTACAATGTTTGTTTTTTCCTTATTAGTTATATTTTTTATATAAGTATTTTAATTTATACCAATATTGGAAATGTTTTTTAGAATGGATAATGAACACATTGCCAAAAAAGGAAAGAAGTTGATTTCATCATTCTTTCCGAAAGTGAATCGTGAAACTGGTGAAGGGAGTTCTGAACCTATACCTACGATAGTGCAAGATGTACTGAATGAGGTTCCTCCACATGCCCAAGTCCCTGAAATCCAAACTATCTCAAATTTGGAGTTGCCTCCTTCTTTTTCCATTGAGAGGGATCGAGAAAAGAAAGCAAATTCATGAATATCATGTCAATGTGCGAGATGAAGTGAGACATGCATATCTAAATGTTGGGCCTTATCAACCGAGAATGGAAGCTTATCCCTTTACAAAAATTGGAGCTCAAAACCGTAGTTTTCAGAAACACTGGTTTGACAAGTTTAATTGGTTAGAGTACTCACGTGTGACTGATAAAGTTTAATGTTTTTTCTGCTTCCTTTTCTTGAGTAACATTCATATGCATACTACTTCTACATTAGTTAACGAAAGATTTCAAAGTTGGAAAAGGGTAAATCAAGGAATTAGATGTGCATTTCTTCAGCACATTGGTACTACAGAAAAATCACCTCATATGATGTGTGTTGAAAGAGCTAAAAATTTGAGGCAACCATCTAGCCATATTAAGAATGTTTTGCACGCCCAATCGCAACAAGAAAAGGAGAAAAATCGTTTGTGATTGATAACTTCTATTATAACTGTTCGATGGTTATCACTTCAAGGTTCTGCCTTTAGAGGTCATGATGAATCTCTAACATCATCAAATCGGGGAAACTTTGTTGAACAAGTGGAAGCTTTTGCGAGTATGAATACCAAAGTTCATGAAGTTGTACTTTAGAATGCTCCAAAAAATGCTCAGTACATTGCTCCCGAGATTCAAAAAGAGATCTTGAATATAATGGCGAATAAAGTTCGTCAAATGGTTCGTGAAGAAATTGCAAATAGTTGTTTCTACATTCTTGTTGATGAAGCACAAGATATATCTAAACAAGAGCAGATGACACTGTGGCAACAACCTTGAAAGGTAAAATATGTGATGTGTTTGGTCATCATGATCTCCAAGTTTGTAAAATGAGAGGCCAATGGTATGATGGTGGGAGTAATAGCGAGGCTCATGGAATGGCCTTTAGGCATTATTTCGTAGAGATGGTCATTATGCATATTACATTCATTGTTTTGCACATCGCTTACAACCTGCGTTGGTTTTTGCGGTTAAGGATGTTAGCTTAATTTGGGAATTCTTCTCTCACTTGTATAGTATTGTTAATATTATCATGTCTTCACCAATTATGCATATTACATTCATTGTTTTGCACATCGCTTACAACCTGCGTTGGTTTTTGCGGTTAAGGATGTTAGCTTAATTTGGGAATTCTTCTCTCACTTGAATAGTATTGTTAATAATATCACTTCTTCACCAAAGCGGGTATCGGAGTTGCACGTGTCTCAAAGAAGTGAAATTGAGAAGTTATTTGCAACTGGGGAGCGTGAGTTGGGATGTGGTGCAAATCAAGTTGGTAATTTGCAACGATCAGGGTCTAGTCGTTGGGGTTCTCACTATAACTTCGTAAAGAGTTTGATAGACATGTATGCCGCAACTAGCAAAGTTTTTGAAAATTTGGTTGAGAACTCTCAAAATGGAAGATCTAAAGCTGAAGTTCTTGGGACCTAAAGAAAAATGGAAAGCTTTGAATTCATGTTTGTCTTACACTTGATGCATAAACTTCTGAGAATAACTGATGCTCTTTGCCATGTTCTTCAAAAAAAAAACTCTTAATATTTTGAGTGCTATTACATTCGTTGGTACTACTAAAATTATCCTTTCAGAGTTAAGAGCATCTGGTTGGGAGGAATTTCTTGAAGAAGTCAAGACTTTTTGCTCTTCAAATGATATTGATGCTCCAAATTTGGGTGATCCAATGTGCTGAAGAAATGCACATCTAATTCCTTGATTTACCCTTTTCCAACTTTGAAATCTTTCGTTAACTAATGTAGAAGTAGTACCAATGTGCTGAAGAAATGCACATCTAATGTAGAAGTAGGTTTGACACACAATTTAAGATAGTGGGTATTGTGTGGTAGAGAGCAGTGAAGATGAGAGAGAAATGTGTAAGAAATGTTGTGAACCACAAATTTTTTACCAAAAAGGAAAAGTGGAAGTTTTAATTGGACGGACGAAAAACGAAAGTTGGAAGTTATAATAGGAACAGAGGGAGTAATTTTTTTAAAAAAAATAAAATTAATAAAAACAAAATTGTTTTGAATTTTTTATTTTATAAATATTTTATAAATTTATTAATTATTTTTCTACTAATTTTAGAAATTTTTTCGAATTTATTATGAATTAAACATTTAATTATGGTTTTGACTATTTTGAACTCATATTTAAAGGAAGGGTAAGAATAGAATGAAGAAATAGGTATGTTTCCGATAGGACTAATATGGTCCTATTTTGATATATATAAAAACATAGCAAGTCCTATTTTGAGTTTTGCCATAATTTTAGTCCTATTTGAACTAATTTCTATTTTTTAAATTTATATAGAGAGGTGAGTTGTAGATTATTTAAGGGTATATTTGGGAGTTTGAAAAAAAAAAGATATATTTCTTCTTATTTGGGAGTAACAAATTAATTTGAAAAGATAGAGATTATGGAGAAATTATAAGTAAACCACTTCAAATACTATCGTATATGACAAATTTAAAGGGAAATTTACCTAAATGGGAGTAAATAAATCATCAATTGCTAAAAGAGGAGTAAATTTTACAATTTCCCCAAATAGGAGTTATTATTTGTAGTGAGACAGAAATGTCCTCAAACTTAGCAAAACCAATTGCTGCCAACAGAAGCTCGGACTGCCGCCGGACCGCCGGTTTCCGGACGCTGCTGCCGGTTTTTTGCCGCCGCCGAATCGGTCATCGCTACAGATCCGGCCGTTGTCACCGTAGATCTGTCTACCGCCTCCGTAGATCTGGCCGCCTCCAACCCCGGCCGCAGTCCCTACAGATTTGGCCTCCCTCGCTGCAGATCCGGCCTCCGCTGATGCATAATCACCGTCCACCGTTGCAGATTTGACCTTATGCCAAAAATTTTATCAGATTGCCATCATGAGTCGACAATGCCATCTAAATGACATTTTCAAAGGAAAATATGAAATTTATGAAGAGTAAAAATGCCACTTTTAAGACATTTCAGAATAAAGTTGAAATTTTTTTAACCACCACATATAAAATAGAGCTTTGATCGTGTGATGAAAAGGTGAAACAAAAGGAGGGCACTTAGAAGATGAAACCGAGGTCTAAATTTTTTAAAAAACCTGCTTTTTTCGTGAACTAAGAACTTTTCTGTCGAACATTGCAGTCATCTTGTGTTACCCACCTCACCGTCATCCATGGAGTTTTCCGATGATCCGATCGCTGCCTATTCGTCGTGTTTGATGGCTGCCTATTTTCCGTTGCCTAGAAGGTAGAAGCTTGGTCTGTCGTCTTCGAAACTTAAAACAAAGAGAGATTTTGGGAGTTAGTTAGAGTAAATCAGCGAACAACTCATTAAGGGTAATATTGGAATAAAATGAAAATTTAGTCCTATTTAGGGTTTAAAACAAGAGTAGTCGTATGTGTGCACATTTAGTCTATTTTACTCCTATTTACAACCGGAGTAATGAAACAGGAGTGAAAGTGGAGAAATACTGGAGAAAACCCTATAACCGATCCTCCGCCCTTAGAGCAGCCGCCTGTGGCGGTGCAGCCACAACTTTCTTCTTCAAACGCCTAGTCCGGTAAATCTTTTGCTGATGTGGTTGCTAACAAATCTAATGGAGTGTTATCAACCAAGATCCCTACTCGCCATAGAGGTATGCCGGCGATCTCCTTCTCGGGCAGTGATATTCAAATTTTGGCGGAGAAGCATAAACGATCTCTTATTGGTTATTTTTATCGTGGTCGCCCAAATTTGGATACTATGAGAAAATCATTCGAAATCATTGGTTTCAAATGCCCCTTTCACCTTGGTGTT